ACTACCCTTTTATGAATGAGTAGTGACATTTCCTAGTTGAGGCAGGTATGGTGTGCCCTTGGTAGAATGCTCGCCCTCAGAGTGGCCAGATGCTCCATGGTATAAACACAGCCAATGCCTCTGGTGGGCCCCTTCCCCAAAGTCTGCTCTGCCTCCTACCCCTCCTCTGATAGGAAGTATTGCCAGGTGGTTAGCTGCCGAAGCCTTACACGGTATTAAGAGGTGAATTGTGTGCCCCTAAAATTCATGTGTTGAAGTCCTAACCCTCAGCACCTCAGAAGGAGATCATATTTGGAAATAGGGAATTACAAATGTAATTAGTTAAGTGAAGATGAGGTTACACTGGAGGAGGGTGGGCCTCTAATCCAATATGGCTGGTGTCCTCATAAAAGGGGGATATTTGGACACAGACACACACACAGGAAGAAGGCCGTATGAAGATAGAGGTGGAGATTGAGGTGATGTGGCAGAAGCCACGGAACACCAAATATTGCCAGGAAACCACCAGAAACGAGGAGAGAGGCATGGGATAGATTTTTCCCTCACAGCCCTCAGAGGGAAATAACCCTGCTGACACTTTGATCTCGGATTTCTAGCCCCCAGAACTGTGAGACACTAAATTTCTGTTGTTTAAGCCACCCAGTTTGTGGGACTTTGTTATAGCACCCTACTGACTAAGACCCTCAGACACTGATGCTGGGTCAGGCCCGCTGGATCAGAAATTTTGCGTGAAGTAGAGGAAACTAGGTCAATTCATGGGGGAGAATCAGTGACCACGTGATGCCTGTAGTGTCTGACCATGGATGGACCTTATTTGTCCACCCCTCAAAGTTGGTGCAGGGACGTGCAGCTAGAATCTCAGTCCCCTAACCTTTGACACACTAACGTTTCAAGGAAAACTGCCGAGAGAGAACAGAAGTCGAGTGCAGACTACATCTAATGAGTACTTAATGCTGTCTTCAGAAAATGAAGAAACTTTGCTGAAAGAAGTCATTCTGATTATTTCTTAGGGTTTTAAACTTTTTACTCACCGACTCTTATTTATTATTATTATTATCATTTTTTGCTGAGGAAGATTCACCCTAAGCTAACATCCATGCCCATCTTCCTCTGTTTTTAAATATGTGGGCCGTCAGCATAGCATGGCTGCTAACAGAGTGGTGTAGGTCCACATCTGGGAATGAAACGCAGGCCGCTGAAGCAGAGCGTGCTGAACTTACCCACTAGGCCCTGGGGCTGGCCCTCGCTGACTTTTAAAATGAATGTATTCATTACTTTTGAGGTCTGATAGGGAGAGGGAATTCTCCCCCGATCTTTTGCCAGAAGTTCTCTAAAACAAAGGGCAGGGCACAAGTTTGGTTTGCCGTTCAGAACTTCTCATTCTATGCCAGATGATTTGCCCACATCCTTGGTACGTTTGCACAAGGGACAGCCCTCCATCTGCATGCCCATCAGCTTCCAACTCATTGCCATGATACAAAGCACAATCATTTACTCAGTAAATAGCTATAAAGGAACTACTATGTGCCAAACATGCTGGGCAATGGAAACTGACAGTAGAGGTCAAGACTCTGGTTATACCACTGCCCTGAAAAATCAGATAATACAAAAGTTGGAGCATTCTGGGAAAAACTGGCATTGCTTAATGCTCAGTGAATTCAGTTCTGCTTAAAAATTGCTTAAACATGACATCACCAGGCAAAGCAGCTTTGGAATTTAGCAAAAAGCAAAATAAAATTACACAGTGAGTAACCATTTATGGCAAGAGTTTCATTTCCCCCCAGGCTCCGCCAGAGAAAGACCTGGGACACAATCTCTTGCTATATAAATCTGTTATAGAGGTAAAAATTGGTAGCTGGAAGATAAAGACATCACAGGAAAAGAAAACTACAGACCAATATCCTTTATGAATATAGATGCAAAAACTCCTAACAAAATACTAGCAGACTGAATCAGGAAGTATATTACAAAGATTATATACTTGACCCAGTAGAATTTATCCCAGGAATGCAAAGGTGGTTCAACATAGAAAAATTGATCAATCAATGTAATATACCACATTAATAGATTTAAGGGGAAAAACACATGATCATCTCAACTGATGCAGAAAAAGCATTGACGAAGTCCAACACCTTTTCAGGATAAAAAACAGCCAACATATTAGAAATAGAAGAGAATGGCCTCAAGCTGATAAAGGCCATCTACAGAAAACCCACAATGAACATCCCACAGCCCACTGTGAAAAACCCGCAGTGAATAATGGTGAAAAACTAAAAGCTTCCCCATAAGATCAGGAACAAGACCAGAATGCCCACTTTCACCATTTCTATTCAACATTATATTGGAAATTCTAGCCAGAGCAATTGGGCAAGAAAAAGAAATAAAAGGCATCCAAACTGGAAAGAAGAAGTAAAACCATCTCTCTTTGCAGATGGTGTGATCTTACATCCAGAGCATCCTAAAAAATCCCCAAAAAAGTATTTAAGTTAATAAGCAAATTCGGCAAAGTTTTAAGTTACAAGATTGACCCACAAAAATTAGTGATATTTCTATGCACTAGTGATGAACAATCTGAAATGAAGTTAGGAAAACAATTTCACTTACAATAGCACCTTAAAGCATAAAATATCTGGGGATAAATTTAACCAAGCAGATAAATGACTTCTAGACCCAAACGACAAACATTGCTGAATGAAATTAGAGAATACCTAAATAAATGGAAAAGGTTTCTTGTTTGTGGATTTGATATCAAGATGGTGAGATTCCCCAAAGAGATCTACAGGTTCAATGCAAACTCTATGAAAATTTCATTGGCTTTTTTTACAGATATGAAAAAAGTTGATCCTACAATTCATATGCAAGGGACCCTGCATAGCTAAAATAATCTTGAAAAAGAACAAAGTTGGAGGACTCACATATCCCAATTTCAAAACTTACTTCAAAGCTACAGCAACCAAAACAGTGTGTTCTTGGCACAAGGATAGACAGAGATTAACGGAACAAAATTGAGAGTCCAGAAAGAAACCCATACAAGTATGGTCAATTAATTTTCCACAAGGGTGTCAAGACCATTCAACGGGGAAAAATATTCTCTTCAACGAATGGTGTTGGGACAACTGGATATGTAAACACATATCCATGTATACATGTATTCATACATACGTATGTAAATGCATGTACGAGAATGAAGTTGGAGCTCCCCACTGCACACCATACACAAAAATTGACTCAAAATGGCTGAAAGACTTAAATGTAAGAAGTACAATTATAAAACTCTTAGAAGAAAGCATGGGGTTAAATCTTCAGGACTTTGGATTTGGCAATAGATTCTTAGAAATGACACCAAAAGAACAAGCAACAAAAGAAAAAATAGATAAGTTGGACTTCATCAAAATTAAAAACTTTTGTGCATCAAAGGACACTGTCACGAAAGTGAAAAGACAGCCTACAGAACAGGAGAAAATATTTGTAGTTCATATATCTCATAAGGTCCTAGTGTCCAGAATATATAAAGAATGCTTACAACTCAACAACAAAAAGACAACCAAGCCAATTAAAAAATGGGCAAAAGACTTGACAGACATTTCTCCAAAGAAGATATGCAAATGGCCGACGCTCATGTGAAAAGAGGCTTAGTGTCATTAGTCATTAGGGAAATGCATATCAAAACTACAATGGGATACCACTCCACACCCTCTAGGATGGTTATAATATTAATTAAAAAAACCAGAGAACAACAAGCATTGTCCAGGAGGTAGAGAAATTGGAGCCCTCATACATTGCTGGTGGAAATGTAAAACGGAGCAGCCACTGTGGAAAACAGTTTGGCTATTACTCAACAAGTTAAGCATAGAATTACTGTATGACTCACTCCCAGGTATATACCCCAAAGAAATGAAAACATGTGTTCAAACAAAACTCATGGAACGAATGTTCATAGCAGCACTGTTCCTAACAGCCGAAAGGCAGAAACAATCCAAAGATCCATTAACAGATGAGACAATAAACAAAATGTGGGATATCCTTACAATGGAATATTATTCAGCTGTAGAAAGGAATGAAGTACTGATACACGTTGTAACTCTGACGAACCTTGAAAACATTGTACTAAGTGAAAGAAGCCAGATACAAAAGCCCACATATTGTTGAATGATTCCATTTATATGATATGTCCAGAATAGGCAAATCTACAGAGACAAAAAGCAGATTAGTGGTTGCCAGGGCCTGGGGGGAGGGGCTAATGGGGAATGACTGCTTAATGGGTACAGAGTTTCCATTTAGGGTGATGAAAAGGTTCTGGAACTAGACAACAGTGATGGTCCTACACCATTGTGAATGTACTAAATGCCACTGAATTGTACACTTTAAAATGATTAAAATGGTGAATTTTACGTTATGTGAATTTTCTCAATGCAAATAAAATGGTGCTTGGCAATCCCAGGCCTGTAACATGGCCATTTATATGAGGTTTATGATAAATTTCTCCTAACATGGAAAACACTTATGTCATAATGTTAAGTGAGAAAAGCAGCATACCAAATTTTCCATATGATATGATCTAAGCCACAAAGAAACAAGCAAAACCCCTGCACAGAAACACAAAAAAAGCCAAAGAAAATATACCAAAATGTTAATGGAGGTTGTCTCCGGATGGTGGGACTCTGGCTGACTTTGTTCTCATCTTTTTACTTTCTAATACTTCCCATTTTTTCTTTTAAGAAGCATGTGCAGTCTCACTTTTATAATAGAAAAAACACCTCTTTTTTTGTAATGAGGTTATGATACTTTACAACCTTGTGAAATTTTAGCTGTACATTATTATTTGTCAGTCACCATATAGGTGTGCCCCTTGACCCTTTGTGCCCACCCCACACCCCCCTTCCCCCTGGTAACCACTAAACAGTTCTCTTTGTCTATGTGTTTGTTTGTCTTCCATATATGAATGAAACCATATGGTGTTTGTCTTTGTCTGGCTTATTTCACTTAACCTAATACCCTCAATGTCCATTCATGTTGTTGTGAATGGGATGATTTTGACTTTTTTATGGCTCAGTAGTATTCCGTTGTATATATGTACCACATCTTCTTTATCCAGTCATCAGTTGGTGGGCTCTTGGGTTGCTTCCATGTCTTGGTCATTGCGAATAATGCTGCGTGAACATAGGGGTGCGTAAGTCTCCTTGAATTGCTGATTTCAAGTTCTTTGGATAAATACCCAGTAGTGGGATGGCTGGGTTGTATGATATTTCTATTTTTAGCTTTTTGAGGAATCTCCATACTGTTTTCTGTAGTGGCTGCACCAGTTTGCCTTCCCATCAGCAGTGGATGAGGGTTCCCTTTTCTCCACAACCTCTCCAACCTTTGTTATTTTTTGTCTTGGTTATTATAGCCATTCTAATGGATGTAAGGTGATACCTTAGTGTAGTTTGGATTTGTATTTCCCTGATGATTAGCGATGTTGAACATCTTTTCACGTGCCTATTGACCATCCATATATCTTCTTTAGAAAAATGTCTGTTCGTATCCCCTGCCCATTTTTTGATAGGGTTGTTTGATTTGTTGTTGTTTAGTTGTGTGAGTTCTTTGTATATTATGGAGATTAATCACTTGTCAGCTATATGATTTGAAAATATTTTCTCCCAATTGGTGAGTTGTCTTTTCGTTTTGATCTTGATTTCCCTTGTCTTGTATAAGCTCTTTAGGCTGATGAAGTCCCACTTGTTTATATTTTCTTTTGTTTCCCTTGTCCGAGCAGACATGATATTTGAAAAGATCCTTTTAAGACTATGTCAAAGAGTGTACTGTCTATATTTTCTTCTAGAAGCTTTATGGTTTCAGGTCTTACCTTTAAGTCTTTGATCCATTTTGAGTTTATTTTTGTATATGGTGTAAGATAATGGTCTACTTTCATTCTTTTGCATGTGGCTGTCCAGTTTTCCCAATACTGTTTGTTGAAGAGACTTTCCTTTCTCCATTGTGTGTTCTTGGCTCCTTTGCTGAAGATTAGCTGTCCATAGATGTGTGGCTTTATTTCTGGGCTTTCAATTCTGTTCCATTGATCTGTGCACCTGTTTTTGTACCAGTACCATGCTGTTTTGATTACTGTAGCTTTGCAGTATGTTTTGAAGTCAGGGATTGTGATGCCTCCAGCTTTGTTCTTTTTTCTCAGTATTGCTTTAGCTATTCAGGGTCTTTTGTTGCCCCATATGAATTTAGGCTTCTTTGCTCTATTTCCGTGAGGAGTGTCGCTGGGATTCTGATTGGGATTGCATCAAATCTGTAGATTGCTCTAGGTACTACAGACTCTTTTTTTTATAGTGGGGAAAACAATAAATGTAATTTAAAATAAAAGAAAATAGAGGATAGAGGCGAAGAGACACAGAGGAGTGAATCAAGAAAGAACACGCTTCAGGGGAGCAATCATGCAATTTGGACTTGAAAATTGCCAGGGAACAGATGGCAGCATCCAAGTAGACATCTGCAATGGATAGTTAAATCGTATGCAAAGACACAAGTGGCCTTTGAGGCAGGCCCTGGAGAGGCCCGGCAGAGAATGCTGTTTGCCGGGCCAAACAAAAGGGCAAAGCCCGTGTCCGCCTCGTCATTGTCTGGCCTTCTCAGAGCCCTGCTGGGGGCCTGGAGGCTGCAGCGGCACTCAGCACAGGTGTGCTTGCATGTGTGAGGGTACAAAAGAGGCTGTGGGAGAAGAAAGAGGCTTCTGATAATGGCAATGGAAAACGTGGCAGCTGACATTTACATGGGACTTCACAGTTTATAAACATTCTCACATACATAACCTAAACGTTAGTTATTATTGCACCACCTTTCAGAATGGCCCTGGGGGGTAGGTAATTACTCCCATCTTACCCTGGAGGGACGAGGCACAGAGAAGTGATGTGAATTTATTTACTTAACACTCGTATAGTGCTCACCCTATGCCGGACACTGTCCTAAAAGCTTTCACATGCACTGATTGCCCATGTTCATGCAGCTAGTAAGGGGCGGAAATGGGATTCAAATCTGGCTCTTTGGACCCCACGACGCCACGCTTCTGCTCCTATCTAAGCAGAGCGTGCCTCTGCCTGCAGAATCTCAACTATGGCCACAAGTGGTTCTGCCTGTCTGCCTATCTATCTACCTACCTACCTACCACCTATCTATCGGTTACCTATTTATCTATCTATCCATCCATCTGTATTTTTCTGATTATAAATGTAACACGTGACTGTATAAAAATGCAAATATTACTGAAATAAGCAACAATAAAAAGTAAAAATCCTCCTAAATCTCACTCCTGAAGATACTCGTTCTTAACTCTTTGGTATATGTTCTTCCAGATTTTTTCGATGTGTATGCAGACGTACATATTTTTTATTTATTTATTTATTTATATTTAATTTATTTTTTCTTAAAGATTGGCACCTGGGCTAACAACTGTTGCCAATCTTTTTTTTTTTTTTCCTGCTTTATCTCCCCAAATTCCCCCTGTACACAGTTGTATATCTTAGTTGCAGGTCCGTCTAGTTGTGGGATGTGGGATGCCGCCTCAGCGTGGCCTGACGAGCGGTGCCATGTCCGGGCCCAGGATCCGAACCCTGGGCTGCCGCAGCGGAGCGCGCGAACTTAACCACTCGGCCACGGAGCCGGCCCCTGTTTTGTTTTTTTAAATAGGATAATACTATACCTACACTTACGTAACTCCCATTTCACACAATATTGATCTTTGGGAATCTCTTCATTGTACCTTGTTTGTTTTAATATTGCATTACATAGAGGTAACAATTGCTTAACTAGTCACTAATTGATAGGCATACAGATTTGCCTATTTTTCTCAATTAGAAACAATGCTGCAATAAACATCTTGTACCTGCATCTTTGTATATACGTATACTTGTCTAGAATAAATTGATGGGAATGGAATTGTTGGGTCAAAAGTGTATACATAATTAAAATCTTCATAGATATTGACAAATTGCCCTTAAAAAAAACATTGTCCTAATAGGTATTCCCATCGGCAATGTATAAAAGTGACTCGTTTCCACACAGGCTCATCAATACTGGGTGTTCACAGTCTAAAATGTTATTCTTATAGGCAAAAATGGTATCTCAGTGTTGTTCTGACTTGTGTTTTAAAAATAGTGAGAGGCCATCTTTTCATACTTCTGATTTTTTAAGTTGCTTGTTCATGTCCTTTGGCAACTGGTATATTGCAGAGAGGAGGGGCCCTTGTAGACCATATGAGATTATGATACATTCTCTTTTAAGGGACAAGTAAGCCCTGGAGATTTATGCTCACCACAAAAACCCATTCTTAAATGTTGTGTGTGGTGTCATTTTGGAGTGTCGAACAGAAGAGCAATGTTAACCAATCATAATCGAGGCTTGGGTTTCATAGTGATTATCACTTTGTGGGATTAACTCTTGATTTATTAGCAACATGGAAGATGATAAGATAATATAACACGTAAGCCAGGGACTGAAATAAGCATTTGTTCATCCACCATGGACAGTTCAGAAATAGCTCCCTGGCAGGTGGATGGTATAGGTTCCGGCACATGGGCGTGTGTGTGTGTGTGCAGGTGAGTGTGTGTGTGCATGTGTGTGGGCAGGCATGTACTGGTTTGCTTTTGGAAGATGTTCAGTGGAGGAATGGAGGGAGAGAATATTGGAGGGTTAGAGAATATCTAGAAGAGTTTATTTGGGGCTATCTCCCAGGAGCAGGGAAGTGGTTGCTTCCTGCCAGCCCCTGCAGTGTGCTGTTATAGCTGTTAGTTTTAGAGTGGCAGTCCCAACATTACAACCCTGGTTCAGAGAGAGGTTGGTGTGCCATTCTGCTGTAAAGCTTTTTTGGTTTGTCTTTGGCTGTGCTGGGACTGGAATTAGGTTGATGTTTGGCCGTCCTCAGATATTCGCCTAGTGGCCTGTGGTTTGAGGTTTGTAATGGTGATAGTATCACGATTCATCAATAGCTTCCTATGAAACAAAGGGCATAGCCAATTTAAATTTTCATAGATATTGCCAAATTTCCCGTCAAAAGACTGTACCAGCGGACATGTCCTTCAGCAGTGTTTGTGAGGGCTTCGCACGTATCATCTCACTTATTCTTCAAGCAGTCTTGTAAAGTCAGTAAGTAGGGGTATTATCTGGTATAGAGACTATAATGAGAATGATGGCCCGTAGTTGTGCATACATACAACACTGTGGTCCTTAATCCCCATTTTACTAAAGCAAATGTTGAGGTATCAGGAAGTTAAGTTCCTTGCTCAAAGTTACACAGCTAATGAGTGTCAGAGCTGGGATTCCAACCTGGGCTATCTGACTCTAGAGCCAATAGTAACTGGGTCCATGGCCATCCAGAGCCTCTTAAAGCTGCTGCAGCCCCCTCAGTGAGGAGCTGGAAGGAGGGAATCAGGACACACTCAGGGTAGTACCATTTCTCCCATTCCTGAGTGCAAACAGAAGCCTGGAGCTTAAGTATTGTCCAGCTTGTCATCCTTCAGGCCTCTGTCAGTGCTTTTACTGAGAAGCAGTCTCCAGAGACAGAATAAATCAGGTAATTTGGCTCAGGAAAAGGCATTGGAGAAATAAATTGCTGTTGCACCATGAATATAAGAAGGCAGTTAGGTAGATGGAAATAGTGATCTTTTGATTATATGAGTGAGGATTATGTGCAGCCAATTTTAAGTCCCAGCTGCCTTTCCCTTGACCTCCTCCCCAACTAGCCACACACTCCCAACTGCATCCCCCAAACTGTCCAGCTGGTATGTGCTCTGTAGACAGTAATCTAATGTTTCATATTAGCCCAGACAAAATAGAATTAGGAAGAAACTCTTCTGCTAGAAAAAGTCACATGCCAATGTCAAATAGAGATGATTTTTTGTATATCTACTATTTTGGCTTATTTGTACCAGTATTGACTCATAATAGTATTGTATAATCTGGATTTGACTATATGGCTAAAGACAATGGTAAAATTGATTTTTTTGTTACTGAAATTTCATTTGTTTTCTCGTTCCTTTTCCCCAAATTTGGACAGATGCACTTTCACTAAAAGGAAAAAGGCTGGATTTTTACGGAAGAACTGACACATATGTGAGGCTGACCAACGCCATTCCTGAACTCAGTCGATTCACAGCATGCATTGACCTGGTATTTAGGGACGGCAAATCGCGTGATTGGACGGCCTTCTCCTATGTTATCAATAACGCCTTCCTGGGCAGAGAAGACATAGACTTCGGACTTGCAGGAGACCATCAGCAGCTAATACTACACAACTTGGGCAAGACCTTTTATATCCATTACCACCTGACTCCATTTCAATGGCATACAATTTGCTTGATACGGGATGGTGTGAAGGGCTCATTAGAACTTCTTCTGAATAAAGAAAGGATACTGATAATGCTGGATCACCCACAAAATCTGACACCCAATGGGACTCTGGTTCTAGGATATTTTCTCAAGAATGGGAACACCCAGATTAAAAGCAGGATGCCTGGCTTCACTGGCAGCTTGTATTACTTTCAACTCTGGGACCGCATCCTGGAAAATGAGGAGTTTATGAAGTGTTTGGGTGGAAACGTAGTTAGTTGGGAAGAAGATGTTTGGCTTGTCAACAAGATCCTGCCAACTGTTGACAGGAGACTGCGCTGCTGTGAGTAACTTCTGAATTGTCCTTGTTAACAAGGGTAGTCGGGGTGTGGTGTTCTTCTGCCGGCTACTCCAAATAACCCACTCTTAGGCCAAGCCTCTGTCTTCCTTGGAGGGGCCCAAAGTCACCATAGTTTTGTCATTTACTTTTTAATGCAGAGCAAATGCTATTTTCTTTTGTCTTTTATTTTGATATGATTTCAAATTTACAGAAAAATTGCAAGAATGGGACGAAGTATTTCTACATACTTTTTACCCAGATTCATTGACTGTTAGATTTTCCTCATGTGTTTTATCCTTCTCTCTCCCTCTCTCTCTCTCTTTCTCTTTCCCTCTCCCTCCATACACACATATGCACACACACACACACACACACAAATTATTTGTTTCTTAATCATTTGGGAGTAAGTTGCAGACATAATGCCTTATTATCCCTAAATATCTCAGTGTGCATCTCTTAACAATAAGGGCATTCTCTTACACAACTATGGTACAACGATCAGAATCAGGAAATTTAGCAATGATAAAATACTAATATCTAATTCATAGTCCATATTCAAATTTAGCCAATTATCCTAATGATCTCTTTTATAGCTATTTTTTGTTTGGTCCAGGATCCAATTCAGGATCACACGTTGCATTTAGTTATCATGTGTCTTTAGATTTTAATCTGGAACCGATCCTTAGTCTTTCCTTGTGTTTCATGATGCTAATTTGTCCCATTACTGGTGATGATAAGTTTCATCACTTGATTCTGATGATGATTGCTGGATTTCTCCACTGTAAAGTTACTATTTTTTCCTTTGTAAATAATAAATAATTTCTGGGGAGGTATTTGGAGGCTATGTAAATATCCTGTTCTTATCAAACTTTCACCCGGTAGTTTTACATCTATTGATGATTTTTGCCTCAATCACATTACTATGATGGTTGCAAAATGATGGTTTGTCACACTCCATCACTTTTCTACACTTGCTAGGTAGGCTTCTAGTGTAAGGAAGAGGGTTCTCTTCTTCCACATTTACTTATTTATTCCTTCAGTTGTTTCTGTTTAAATCAGCATGAACTCATGGATTCTTATTTTATTCAATGGTTTACAGTCTGTTGCTATAATTTATTTTGATGCTCAAATTGGCCCCGATTTGGCCAGTAGGAATCCTTCAATCTGGCTCTTATGTCCTTTTGACACATTCCCATCATTTTTGAACACTTCCTTGCTTTCTAGCACAACAGGATCTTACAGGCTTATCTTGTAGTTTCCCTGCTCAGCCCAAGAATCAGCCATTTTACCAAAGAGCCCTGGTTCCTTTCAGTGGGGAATGGCACTTAGAGACCAATTCATTTTTCTTTTGAGAGTAATGATGATGTTGGCGAACTATTTTCTTGTAAGAAAACTGGCTTCTTGGAATTCACATGTATTTTTCCCCTTCTTTCCAATTTTGGGGAGGAAATATAGGATTGTTTTTCTCTGTACAACCACGCTCTCCCCTCAAATCCAATATTCTCCACCATTAGCAGCAGCGGTCCTGAAGCGTGGGTAAAGTCAGCGATAACGGCATCAAGACAGGATTTTTTCTCATTTCCTGAAATGTGCACATGTCCTCAGAGTACTATTATTTATTGTTCTTACGGATTTGGAGCAGGGGTTAGGGAGGGAATGGGAGCTGGATCCATCCCTAATAGGGCTCTCAAAGACTGTGGAGATATGTTTTCACCAAGGGTCTGGCTGCTCTTTGAGTTAATGGCAGAGGCACATTCCAAGGGGTTTCTGTGTTTTTTTTGAGATCAGCCTAATGCAAAGGAACAGGAAAGCTATTCCTTTGAGCTACGACCTGAAGGCATTTGGTTTTTCTCTTTTCTGTGGCCTTGAAAATAGAAGAGAACAGTATTAGTGGGCTCTGAGTACAAAACTGAGCTAGAGACTAGTAGGTTAAGCCTGAACAGCTCACCCAAAGCAGCTTAAAGTAACTTTACCTTTGATCTAAGGAACCGGAAGTATGACTCCATTAAATCCATATGCTTAGCGGTGGTTTTTGAAAACCTAATCTGGCCAGTGAATTGCCATGGCCTTTCCCGTCACTTTGCTGGTGAATTGCTAAATCTAACTGATGTGTTAAAGTGCTAGACAATCCTCATTTATTTTGATCTTTTGTACGCTTTTCAATGTACATTCTATCCTCCTGGTCTGAGCAGGTCCTGGTGGGCATAATACACAAATAATCAAACACAACAAACCAGCAAAAGAACGCACAATCTAACGTGACAATCAGCAAAAGGAGTAGAAAATGTTATTTCTACTATTCAAGTTTCTTCGAATGTTCTTTCCAAACCTTAGGCCAGGGCTTCCTAGCCTGAGGTCCAGAATGGCCTTGATGGGTAGGCAAAGCCCTTGAAATTGTATGCAACATCCTAAAAATGCAAGGTGGATTTTTTTTCTGAGGACAGAGTCTTTAGTTTTCGTTATCTAAAATAATATGATAATTGTTGCCTTTTACTAAGATCTTGCCATGTGCCAGGCATTTTATAGATGAGGAAAGAGAGGCTCAGAGAGATTAAGTAAATTGCTTGAGGTCACGTATCAGATAAGTAGTGGAGCTGGGACTTGAACAAAGATTTGTCTGGTTGCAAAGCCCATGTTCTTTTTACCCCTACACCATGCAGGACTACCTCCAGGGGGTCTGGGGCCCCCAAAAGATTATGAACCGCTGTCTTAGAAGCTTCCTTTGAAGGGAGTTGCTGGTGCTGATAACCCACCTGGGAAATGAGGCTATGAGCTGCAGTCACTACCTGCTCACCACTGAAGGAGCTGTACCACCACAGAATCTCTTCTACCTCCGTCTTGGTGGGATGACATCTGGGAAAAGGGGGCAGCTACGTAAATAAACAGGAGTGATTACAACGTGTCTAGCTTCAACTTTGGCCTAATAAATTGGTATTTATGGTCCATAGAAGGATTATGACCTTTAAAAAATAAATTTTAATGAGCACATTGCCCGGTTACAGATCTCAATAAATCTATTTACACATAAATTATATATGTATATATTTATGTATTCATGAGAAAAGGCTTTTGGGGAACATTTGCCATAAACCATGAACCCTACCTAGGTTTAATAAGTATTCACCATAGTTCGAGATGTCTCAGGAATATTTAAACAACACAGTGATAAATAATAGTAACAGCAAAGTTGCCAGTCGTTAGTAATTTTAGTTTTTAAGCATCTTTTCTTTATTTTTAAAAATTACCAATGCAATACATTATGTCTGTGAATAAAATAAACTCAAACAATACAAAAGTACATGAAGTATAAAGTGAAATCTGCCTCACATCTTCTCCATAGAAGTGTCTATTTTTTAAAGATTTTTTTCCTATCGATTTATGATAAGTGTGTGTGTATGTGTGCATGGGTGTGTATAGTTAAGAAAACAAAAATAATATATTCATATGTGCATATTGTTCTACAATTTGATGTATTTTAACTTAATATCATCATATAACGTTAGTACATTGAGATCCACCTCATCCATTTTTAGGGCTGCATATGTTCGTTGTATAGATGTACTTTAATTTATTTAACTAAGTCGCCACTAATGGGCATTTAAGTTGCTTCCAACTTTTTGCAGTTACAAATAATGCTATAATAAACTTCCTTGTACAAACATCTTGGTATATGTGTGCTTGTAGTTTCATAGGACACATAACTAAAAGTAGAACTTCAACAGAAGAGGATAAAAGTTTCACAATTTAAATTGATTTACCATTTTTACTAGTTATTTTATTAATTTAACTGTTCATTAAAAATTGATTTATTTTTTAAAGTAAAAGTAGTAGATATGCGTGGTAAAAATGTAAACAACGTATAAAGATATAAATTAAAAGTAAAATTCTCCTTCTCTTCAATCCCTTACCCCAAGTGGCTTCTCAAGAAGTAATGATTGTTAACAATTTAGGACGTGGGTTTACATGTAAATATTCTTTGTTTTTCTTTTTCATAGTTTAGATCATCATTATATGCATAGTCTTCTGTATCTTTTTTTGCACTTAATAACATATTTTGGAGATATTTCCATAGCAGAACATATGGAGCTATCTGATTTTTCGAGATGCTGATTAGTAGGATAGAATGGGGATATGCTGTAATTTATTCAATGAGCTCCCTTTGAAGGACTTTTAAGTTGTTTCCAGTTTTTAGCTGTGACTAAAGTCTACAGTATTTTTTTTTGATTTTTTAATTTTTTCCTTTTTCTCCCCAAAGCCCCCTGTACATAGTTGTATATTCTTCATTGGGGGTCCTTCTAGTTGTGGCATGTGGGACGCTGCCTCAGCCTGGTTTGATGAGCAGTGCCATGTCCGCGGCCAGGATTCGAACGAACGTAACACTGGGCCGCCTGCAGTGGAGTGCGCGAACTTAACCACTCGGCCACGGGGCCAGCCCCGAGTCTACAGTATTTTTAAGAGGGGTGGATGGTGAAAGGAATTTCTTGAAGTGACCATTAGGGACGGATGACATGCACAAACTCCTCTCGAGGCATGCACAGCTCAGACGCATGATCCAGCAAAGGATTTGTTCTGACTTGTGAATATATGAAGACGAAGTGTCTTCCTAAAGGTATGCAGATTAAATTACTCTTAGTTATGCATTTGAGAAATCTCCTCTTTGAAAAGAATGAAATAACATGAATTGAGTCCATCCTGGGAAATCTACGCTGTAGCAAAACATGGGGTCCCTTATCTGTGGAGCTATTGATTCGCTACGATTTATTAATTGATCGAGTGCTCCAGCCGCTTTGAATTACTTTATGAACTAACCATTTTTAAAATATGCAAAGATTGATTATGCAGTTTATGCACTTTTTAAAGGCATTTGTTTGGCCCACTGTTAAGAGCTCTAAGCAATTATCAGCTCTCATAGGAAAGGTTCCACAGTGATGGGCTCTACTAGCTAAAAGGCAATTTGGTTTTGCCGTTGTATATCAATTCTGTGCGCTAGCCTCATTTCTCAT